GGGGGCTGGACTCACAAGTGGACCGGCAGACCATGGAACACGCTATCAGCAATTTTAAAATGAAATATGGGTGGGGGGTGAACTGGGGGTAAATCAATTTCACAGCACACAAGCTCATAAGCAGATGGTCATGCCTGATCCCTGTACCAGCATCTTCAACATCAGAGCCGCTTACTGCAGACCCCGTCCTCCCACTGAAAACAAGGCATGTGCAAGATGAAACATGCTCTTCCATGTCATTTCCTGTCCATAAACCAGGATATCCTGAAAGTTTAAACATATATAAATAATAGTGTGTGGCATCACTTCTTAGAGTAAATGCAGTGTGTTCAATAAGTCCCCCCCCCCCCAATCTGGAGATGGTTGAGTAGAAGGTGTGGAGCCCACAAGAAGAAAAAGACCACCTGTGCCAGACCAGTACCAGAGTGCCAAGCATGAACGTGGTTCCCAAGGATGAGGTGCAAAGACAGCCTGGACAAGGAGAAAGTTTGGGGTGTGATTTTCCTCTGTGTCATAAGGATATGTGTGATATGAGTGTGCCCCCTACAGGACATGCCGGTTACTGCAGAGCCATTTCCCTTTATTTAGTGCTGCAAACAGTTGGCATTCATACAAGCATTAAAGGAGGGAGGCATATGAAGCACAGAGTAAGAAAAAATGAGGGGTAGAAGATTGCAGATCACAAAGAGCCAGAGACGTGGGGACAGGCTGTAGACACCCATGTGGGGAAAAGCAGCACTGCTTAGTTAGGGGTGGGGGGCACTCACATTCTAACCAAGCCGGTAAAACACCCCCCAGCTTACACACACAGATTGACTTACACTCAATTGAGCTGAAGCCCCTCACCAAAAACTGACAGGAGCACGGGGTAAGATTACAGCGCGTAAACTGGACACGCTGTCAAGGACACGCCTGCGTCCATTAGTGCAGCCTCCCTTAGTGATCTAGCGCCCCCTGTTGGGCACACATAGCCAGCAGCAGGGGAAGAGACAAGCTGCTCTTCATCCTTAATGGCACAGCTGGTCCTGGCCATCTATGGTTTTACATGTGTAAATAATCAAATCACTTACTGTACATCTTACAAAAACAAACACGTCACTGCCCAACGACATCGATACGATTCAGAGTCACATTAAACCCGCCAGGTCTTGGCATCACAATCTGAGGAATGAGATCTTGGCTGGGGATGGTAGGAGAGGCCCGGAACCTCAGAGCTGTCTCTGGGCCAGCTGTGGGTGCTGGCAGGAGGACCCGGAGCTGTCCTCAGTGCTGCCCGCTGGGGTACAGTCTGTTTCGCAGCACCACCACCAGGGGGAGGTGCTGCCGGATGCCCGGGTAGTGCTGGACGTGGTCGAACCATCGCGAGATGTTCACATAAGTCTCCTTCTCCTGGATTGAGAGCCCAACCTGCGGAAGGATGGACAATCAGTGAGCGGGACCTTGTCATGGGGGGCAGGGGGAAGCAGACTAACTGCAACCGGACAGAATGGCACAGAGAGAAAGCCAGCCTTTCAGGTGGGGGGGGGGGGGGGGGGGGGGTGTCTGTGCTATGACATGTTAGGTAGAATCCGGGACACACTGCGCCCCCGAGAGCAGGCAGATGTCCTGCGTTTTCTCGCTCATCCACAGGAGGGCGACGCTGCCACTCACCATGAGATGATGTATCCCATAGTACATGAGCATATCAGCCAGGGTGAAGGCATCTCCAGCCAGGTAGACCTTATCCTCCAAGTGCTGGTTCAGGTCCTGGATAGCAGATAAGACAGAGCATGGTTGGTTAACATGCAGGGGGGCTGCTTAATGGCAGGGAGGCCATACCGTGAAGGCTGAGCTCCTGCTCAATAATTATCTCCATGATATATGAAAAAATCATACGCTGCAGATCAATAAAGAATTTTGACACCGATGGGTCACATGACATTAGTGACATCATAAGAGTCCTTTACCAACTTTCCTGATCTGCTTATATCTACTTAAAAATAACAGGGGGTGTTTAATGGCGGGACTGCTGGGGGGTTTGAATCCCACCTCACCTTTGTTATGGGGGGGGGGGGTTCCTCTGGCTGCTCTAGATTCTTATAACAGTCTGAAGACACGCAGCCAGGCTGAAAGGCCCAGAATATATGATTGCAAGCATGCATGTGTCCTCTGAGGGACTGGCATCCCATCCAGAGAGTCCCCAGCCCTGTGCCCTGCAATGGACTGGCATCCCATCCAGGGAGTCCCCAGCCCTGTGCCCTATGATGGACTGGCATCCCATCCAGGGAGTCCCCAGCCCTGTGCCCTCTGAGGGACTGGCATCCCATCCAGAGAGTCCCCTGCCCTGTGCCCTCTGAGGGACTGGCATCCCATCCAGAGAGTCCCCTGCCCTATGATGGACTGGCATCCCATCCAGAGAGTCCCCTGCCCTGTGCCCTCTGATGGACTGGCATCCCATTCAGTGGGAATAGGTGCTCCCCCAAGAACCCTGCACTGGATAAGCTGCAGGAAGACAAATGGTTGGTTGGCTGGATGGATCAGGTGTGACACATTTAATGCGTGTGTGTGAGCAGAGAATGGGGCATGTGAGCACCAGTGTCCTGGAGGAAAACAGGTGCTGCCTATCCCAGATGTCAACCATGCTGCCTGAATCTCCCAGTTCTCCTCAGGTACACCAGCAGGGGGTGTAGGCAGCGGTGGGCCTCCTACCTTCAGGACACTCCTGACCTCCTCCTTGGGGCAGCCATCCAGTCGGGTGGCCCGGTACTCCAGCCACTGCTGCACCACAGCCCTTTGCTCTGCGCTGACCCCTAGCAGCTCTGGTCGCTGGGCCTCACGCACCAGGTGGGTGGCGATAGTGAGCAGGCCACAGAGAGGTGGGCCACTGTTGCTCTGGAGGACGGGTGTCTGGGGGGAACAGACATCAAGGTTTAATTAGTTGTGAGTAGGGGACAGAGTAGACATCCGGGTTAGTTGGAGGGTAACCATGTCTCACACCACACAGACTATTCTGAAGGGTGATTTCTCTCCATGTGATTGCAGTCTGGGCAGCTTGACAGCCACAATACATATTACTCCACACACATGCACATTATATTTCATCCATTCAGGGAGAGCAGGGCATCCTTCTTTCTGGGCGCTGTGCTCAGGCCCGAGGTAGCAGGCAGGACGGGATCCTGCGGTGAGTAACTACGATGGACCCGCCGGTTAATGATCCCAGCTCATCTAACAGATACAAAACAGTTTGCACAAAAACTACAGTATACGCCTTGTAAGTAAATGGTTACCAGGTAACCCACCGCACTGACAGGGATGCTGAAACGAGCCAATTAAAACCCCCGGATTAATACGGACACATCTCGACCGGAAGGGTCCGCCGTCACCCACATGTCTGCGGCACGGTGCCGGCGCATCACTCCGCGGCTCCTGGACGGACCCTACCCTCGGCAACCACACGCAGGACGCCCAAGTCCCCGGCGCCTTCCAGATAAACCGCTACCTACCTTGCTGCTTCCTTGCGTGCTGTATTTGTTGGGTTTTTTAAAGCCCAACGCCTTCTCCAGCGACGACAACTCCTTCAACGCCATCTTGGATAATGTCACGCCTCCGCGGCACGATTGGACACAACCGACTCCTCCCACGGGCCGTAGGTGGATTTAACCAATCAGACTGCCGATGTCAGAAACGCTGGGATTGCATCAGAAGGGGGCGGGGCTGCACGCTAATGCGTGCTGAAGGGGGTAGTTGATATGCTGCGCATATGCCATAGAGCATCTGTTAACCATGTGCAGAGGCGAATGTACTTCCTCGCGTGTGTTCCTTCTCTGATAGTATGTCTGGTGCCTGTCAGACACCCCCCCATCTCGGATGTCAGAATCAAGGTATAATACTGGCATGCCAATATCTGGATTTAAGATCTGTTCTTATGTAAACAATATAAACACAACTTGCACTGTACATAAAAGACTGTATGTAGGAATATGTAGACAGGAAAGCTGGACTACACATTAATACTACAAATCTACAAACTAATCGATTCATCACAATGTACAGCTTTGTTCTTTAGTTTTCAAATCGTACCACAATATTATTATTATTATTATTATTATTATTATTATTATTATTATTATTATTAGTAGTAGTAGTAGTAGTAGTAGTAGTAGTAATAGTGGTGGTAGCAGCAGCAGCAGTAGTAATAGTTTTGACCACAATATTAACCAAAACTAAAGCTCGTGATACGTTTGAGTCTGCAGCCAGCAGGGGGCACTGTGGGTCTTTGAAACTTTCCGTGCTGTTACGGTGAATCCCTTACTTTTCAACAAAGAAAAACTTAAAAAGTTACTCTGAAACAGAGTGAATGACAATGAAAATTAATACAAAATGACCTAATTGGTTTGGTGAACTGCTTAATAAAAATAAATGTTTTTTAAATTATTGTATTTCAAAAATAGCGTTGGTTTGTAACGTATTCACCTACACATGCTACAGGTTATAACCATTATTCTACCAAATACGTTTTTTTTTAGGCGGGGTGCACATAGCAGAAGCTGATCATAAATAAAACAAAACAAAATAAAATAAAATGAAAGAAATAAAGCATTCTCAGAATGGGCCCATATATCTGTGCCAGGATGAATGTAGCAGTTTGATTCAGGCCTGGGAGGACAAATCAAAACTGCTGGCATTCTGGGTGAAGATCTCAGCAAGCCCCCATGTTTACATACTTACATACCACTGAGTGTGACACAGGGGCAGCATAAATATCCCAGGAACGGCTGAATGACTGTCTGATAGAAATGTCTCTGGTATATCATTCCCTGTTTGTAATTCAGTCCTTGGTTTTGTTTCCTTATTTCTTTTTCCTCATGGTATGAGCCTGTATCTAGGAGTGTCAGACATCAGCAGCCAATATCAGGCAGCATTGGGCAGACATATATCCTGCTTTCTGCGCATTCATGCCATTTTTGAGAATTGGCATCACAATGATACTCTGTGTGCGACTGGTGATGTCTGCAGATGCACAGCGGTGGGGTGACCACAGCCTTGCCTGGTATCTCTCCTCTTGCTGCCTACTGCCTGTCAGAAGAAGTCATTGGGAGAGTCAGCTGGGGTGACGTCTGCTCTTTTACTCTCCGTGGTAAGAGGGGGTGGGGCTGCTTGGACGTTCTCCTGGGGGAACCATGGCATCAGAGCCATGCTGGCAAGCTTGTTGCTCCATGAAAAGTTGCATCAGATCATCGTGTTGTAATAGATTCAGTTACTGTACAGGAAGCATGTGAGTGAAATACTCACGAGGGTTCCTGTCTAAAAGGACTGACACACAAAGATGCGCATTAAAAATCACGCCCCCCCACAGACAGACATAAACATCCATTCTATTTAGTGGTCATCGTTGACGCACCTCAGCACACAACAACAAAATGCATCCTGTACATTTAACCTACATGCAACGTCGTGACATAGCAGGGGGCAGCTAATTCAGCACCCAGGGAGCAGTGCTTGGGGGCGATACCTTACTCAGGGTACCTCAGTGGTGCCTTGCTGGTCGGGGATTCTAACCTGCAATCTTTCAATTACAAGTGTGCTTCCCTAACCATTAAGCTACCACTGCCCAGTGGTTTTGTCAAAAGTGGGATTTGAACCCAACCCCCAGGGGAGACTGCAACCTGAACGCAGTGCCTTCGACCACTTGGCCACCCTGACATTCACATAAACCCTGACACACGCATATGGACACACACAGATGGACATCGGACATACGCAGGGAATTGGTAGGGAAACCTCAACGACCTCACTCTGATGCTCACTCCTGATAGAGGCCCTGATCAGCTTAATAAAGTGCAATCATTTGGACATTTATGAGACAGACAGGAGCCGCTAATGCAACCTGACAGGAGCGGGGGAGATACATGCAGGAGGGGGCCCCTGGAGGTGGGGCATGGGTGTGGGGGTGGGGGGGGTGCATGGTGTTACTCTGTTAATAAGGGCCTCAGGTGGCAGTGAGTGGGCTTGCGCACTGATCGCGGGAGCACCTACCTGCACGGGCCGGGATCCGCAAAGCCACCCATGGCCATGCCCCTCCCCCGCAGACACTCACCGGGATGGCAGTGGTTTACCTCCCCCCCCCCCCAACCCCCGCTAATGCTCCCTAACTTGTTTATTCCTGGGTAACAGCACCCCCCCCCCAGCCCATTAAAACAGAATCATCATGGAGTACATGGCAGCTGATACTCCCCCCACGCCCCCCACCAGCATCATGAAGACTCCAGTTTCCCCAGCCAGGGCCGCTGGCTCATAATCTCCCCCCCAGGATCGCTTTCTCTTGTCTAGCTGTAGCACCGATATGTTTTGCCATAATGATGCTGAGTCTGTGCCCCCCCATGTCCCTCAATACCCCCCCCCCAATGCCTGCTAATGCCCTAATGTCCCTCAATACACCACCAATATGCCCCAATGCCCCTATATCCCTCAATACCTCCCCAATGCCCCCACCCCATGTACCTCAGTACCCTGCCCTATGCCTCCCCCTCACAAAGCCCTCCCCAATGCCCCCACCCCATGTCCCTCAATACCCCCCCCCCCAATGCCTGCTAATGCCCTAATGTCCCTCAATACACCACCAATATGCCCCAATGCCCCTATATCCCTCAATACCTCCCCAATGCCCCACCCCATGTCCCTCAAAAACCTGTCCTGTGTCCACAGGGGTGCCAGTGAGCGTGGAGGTGTTGCAGTACGCCACCCTGTGAGGGCCACCCTGTGAGGGCCACCCTGTGAGGGCCACTCTGTGAGGGCCACCCTGTGAGGGCCACCCTGTGAGGGCCACCCTGTGAGGGCCACTCTGTGAGGGCCACTCTGTGAGGGCCACCCTGTGAGGGCCACTCTGTGAGGGCCACCCTGTGAGGGCCACTCTGCTCACCCCTGTCAGACCCCTTTAGATGTTTGTCAGGGTAACCCGAAGAGATGCTCTTTCATCTTTAAAGTTCTCTCCTGAATACCAACAGGGCCATGAGCGCTGTGCCTGGGTAAGGGGCTCTAGACACGTTTCTCCATCCAAAACACGAAGCAACAAACAGCCCCTTTTAAACATGCTGGGCTGTGAGGATCCAGCCCCAGATGAATATGTGGGGTGTGTTACATGCATACAGCACCCTGTCTTTGAGCCTCTCTTTTCCTCTTTCTTATTTAGGAGCTGAAATGCCACTTAAGACCCAGGCCAGCGGCTCATGACAGCGCTGGATGGACAGTAATGGACAGCACTGGACTGGATTGGGACCTGCTCTCCAGCTGGGTCTGAAACACCCTGCACCTCTTTGCTGACCTAGTGTAGGGTCCCCCCCCCCACCCTAAAGTCCTATGTTTTTGTTCTTTCCTGACACCCCTCCCAACCTGTCCTCACCCCTCCAAGTCGCCAAGTGAATCCCACCTCTCAGGTTACAGGAGATGGGGATCTGAGGTCAGCAGGGGTCCCAGGGGCGGTCCCGGGGGGCCCTGGGAGCCGGTTTCATCCTCAATTACACTCACCTTTGTTTCCTGCTCACCTCCACCCCCCAGGCCATTGCCCCCTTTCCTAACGTGCCTCGCTGGAGTTAGGACCGGGAGGGGCCTCCTCTGTTTAGCTGAGGAATTTCAGAATAACTGTCATGTAGAGGAGAATGGCATTCCTTACCTTCAAAAGGCCCACCAGTGTTTATGGGAGCTGCCCAACTAAAGGGAGGGATTTCCCAGACCTCATTTTATCTGCAGTTCGCTATCAGCTGCCAAATAAGATAGCAGACTGATCTGCATTTGCCATAAAATATCTGGGTTTTACGTAGATTAAATTTTGAATTACAGATGTTTTTATCAGGCAGAATAAACTTGTCTGGCTAGTCGTAAAATATTGCTTTTCCTGTTTTTCAGCAGGCAACCTTTTGGTATACCTAAGCATGTGCAGAAGTGCCTGGTGTAATTATTATTGTAATAATAGATGTCAACACCTACATGCCGTTCTATAACAGAGGTCCTCCTAGTTCACCGAGCAGTGGTCCCATCTGCATTAATTAGACATGAAATTCTGCCAGGGTGTTACAAAGGAATAAACAGAGACTGACAGAGGAAAATAAATAACTACCAGAGCAACTGAGGAGGCTTCATCAGTTATGCGCAGCATGTTCCATAATCTTGGAGTCCTTGACGATCTGTATGTGACTGTTATGGTAACCCACATTGTCCCCATGGCCTTCTGGATCAAAGCATTCTGCTTCAGCTATTGCGGAATGGTAACCCGTACCTCTCATAGTAGCTAGGGGACAAGATCGGCAATGGAAAGCTCATTAAAATGTCGGAGCTACATAGATCTGTCATTATCGGAAAACTAGATCAGCAGTCACATTTCTGAGCTTTACATTACACTCAGCAGTAAAACATTATGCAAAGACAAGAAATGCATATGCTGTTGTCTTCCTCTTTGAAGCCTGCAGAGCTCAGCCAAATTTAGTGCAAATAAAGAAGGTCTAATACCCCCCATTTGGATGGGGAGTGCAGGCGTCCATCAGCTGCTTCGGGACAGGCGAGGCAATGCCAGGAGCTAGTAGATTAATTAGGGCCTCCACATGCTCTCCTAAGTCAACGACAG